CCTTAGTTGGGCGATCCTAGGGCATGCCAAAGTTTGGCGCTTCTCTGGTAAGCCACAGGAGTGCCAAAGTTGGTGCCATACTTGAGCCATAACTGCCATAGTAAATCCTAACCTTGGAATTCGGGGGATGCCAAGGTTTGGCGTTTCTCTGGTCCGCCAGAGGAGCGCCAAAGTTGGTGCCATACTTCAGCCATAGCTGCCAGAGCAACGCCTAATTTTGGTATTTGGGACGTGCCAAAGTTTGGCTTTTCTTGGGTCCGCCCCAGGATTGCCGAAGTAGTGCCATACTAGAGCTATAACTGCCAGAGCAACGCCCAATTTGGGTATTTTGGACATGCCAAAGTTTGGCGTTTCTCTGGTCCGCCAGAGGAGCGCCAAAGTTGGTGCCATAATTCAGCCATAACTGCCAGAGCAACGCCTAATTTGGATATTTCGGACACGCCAAAATTTGGCGTTTCTCTGGTACGCCACAGGAGTGCCGAAGTATGCCATACTTGAGCCATAACTACCAAAACAACGCATAATTTCAGTATTTCGGGCTCGCCGAGTTTGGCTTTTTCTCTGGTCCGCCACCGTTGTGCCGAAGTAAGTGCCAGACTTGTGCCATAACTGCCGCAGTTAATCTTAATTTGTCGATTCGGGGCATGCCGAAGTTTGGCTCTTCTCTGGCTACTCACTGAAGTGCCAAATAAGTGCCAAAAGTGGCAAAGAAAGCCGGGAGGCCAGCCCAAGTTTCGAATATCTCTGGTGTGTCACAGAAGTACTCTTTTACGCGTTCCAGAAGAGAAATAAATTAAATAAATGCTGTAAACACGATGATAAGATGTCATCACCTCCGTTCCCAAGCAGCACGGCAATATTTTGCAGCATCGTGCCAGTGCCGGCCGAAAGTCGGTTCCAATATCGCTGAAATGTCCAGTTTTGCATTACCGTTTGATACCCGGCAAGTATTGCCGTAGAGCTCTTTCGCCCCAGCCTATCGTTCGCGCAATATTGTGCAAAAACTCTATGATTGCCTCTGCTCCGTATTGGCCGAACGTCGTGCAAGTATGTGTACGTTGCATGTCATTTGTTGCATATCCAATCACTTATACAGACAAACAGATTTTTTCCATCGCTCCTAGAAGTTTATTAAACAAATATGATTACACACAGTGTACTCTACACATATTTACAAAGGTCACACTTTTCTGTAAAACGAAAAGCAAATTCTAAAATACAATTAACACTGTCCTCATGCCAAGCAAAACTCATCACAGAAAAACCGCGGAGATTGAGAGGAAAGCAGGACGACTATCAGAATCATGCTCGCAGTGCACTTACTAGTAAAAGAGCAATATCATGTAATCCTTGATAGATGCATAATCCAACTCAGGCACCCCACAGACACATTCGAGGAAAAAGGTTGCGCACATTCAACTGACGTCTCGTCGTCGGCGGAGAGCAGTTTTTGTCGAAGCGTGTCCAACAAACACATCACAAGTATTCCACAAACTCCGGTGAAAAAAATGGCTTTTACGAAAAATTGGCATGGACGTATTCCGACTGTCTCACGGCCGCGTCTGCAACGTACGAAAGCAACAGAACACTGAAAAGCGCAGTTCGAGAACCGGACCTACTTGGCCCGCTTATTTCTATAACTAGGCAAACGGCGAAAACGACAGCCCCAGAGATCCCATCAGCATGACAGAGAAAGTCACGTGACAAATTTTCGTCCAAACGTTTTTGTCCTACGCGTCCTACGTAGAGAGGCCACGCTGGGTCACGCATTTTGCTCCACGCTTTTGATTTGCTTAAAGCGGCTGTCGCGCTCGCTGACAGCCACACAAAAGCAGGTGAGGAGGATTTGCAAAAGGCGAGGTCGAAGGGGCATCAACAACGCACAAAAGGAAATGCCGCTTCTGCCGGTGACCTTGTCGCCTTGCCTAGTTTGTCAGCGTTCGGCTTCCATTAAGGGCCGCCAGAAAGATAATCTCCGTTCTTGAGAGCGAAATGGAAGGGGTGCCTATGTTTTGCGGGCTTGTCGCCATTCGATAGGCCTCAATTATTTCTCTCCCCAATCGCTCGCAGTGGCTTCCCATGGCTGTCGTGCCGGTGAAATTAGAAGCGCAAAAATACTCCGGAAGCCGGGCGAAGACATGATAAACGCAATAACAAAAACGGCTTGACATCACAAAAGTAACAATTTAATTAAACGTTTCGCCTCCCATGCCGGAGGCATCTTCAGTAGAGCACAGAGCGAGTGAGAGTCGCACAAAAAAGTTCGGCTATTTAGGCATAAAGTTTGTGCACACGTCGGGCAGGGGGCCGCGGTTCTTGTTTACCAGCGATGAATCACTTCCGCGTTTGTCCATAGAGTAATATAGTGGAACGTAAAGAGTGGCCACTTGAACCCTATCGCGGCCCAGGAAGTAGGTTTCACGGCAGCCGCCAGCTGGCGCCAAGGTGCCGAATTATTTAAATATTTGTTATATTTTCAGCGTTCATAAATTGTTCTATCTTAATTTAAAAGATTTTAAAATTATTAGTAGCTTCGAAGGTTAGAGAAAAATATTCCAATAATTGCGACTTCCGCTTGGGCAAAACGCCGCCATAACGGTAGCCTGGGTGTTGGGCTCGGCGGCTCGGGCGGTCTCCCGCTGTTCCTGTCGTCACGTGGATTTCTCGGTGTTCGCTTCAAGGAAATGGTGAGCCATTTCAAAACACTATTACGCAACCACTTGAGGAGTGTTTCACGGATCTGTTGGGCGTCGGCGTCTTTCGGGCTTGCCGCTTTTCTCTGTAAAGGGCCACCCACACTAGCGAGAAAACGCGCGTGGCACGCCGATCGCGGCAAGTAACAAAATGTCGCCGAAGCACAGTCAGCGCCAGGAGCGCGTGCAGAGACACGCCCTTTATCTTCTCGCTTAACCGATTTATCGGCGCGCCGGGCGCGTTTTCTCACTAGTGTGGGCGGCCCTTAACATAGCGTGAAATGCAGCAGGGCAGAAGCGTCTGACGCTGCAAACACGTACGCGTTGTCTTCAGCGACGCTGATTCCAGCTTTCACTTCTCAATCGCGCGTGCATTACATGCTCATTTAAAACGTCGAGCTCTCTCTCTAGTAGTTGTTTCTTTCCTGGCACTTGCGGTGAGATGGAGCACACAGTTTCTGCGGGGGCCGGGAGTCGGTGCCGCCAAAGAGAGGTCCTGAGACACTTCGCTCAATGTGGTGTGGTTTCACCTACTCGCACGGGTTTTTCGCTCTTTGCGTGAGGTTTCCTTCTTGTTCATGTTGAAAGTACATGCCGCAGCACCATGTTTTTAATTTGATCTGGTCGAGAAGAGCCAGCTCAGGGAATTTAAATCACAGGTGAGCAAGGCATCCGATCATCTGCGGAATTCGATGCACCCTGCGCGCTGGTGTATGCTGGAGACCTTAGGGAACCATAGTATCACAAGGCGCCGAAGCATTGGTTTCACGTCGTCCGAGTTGGTCTATACTAACATGCAATTCAACTTTTTATTTAAGGGCCCTGTTCGTGCACCGTGGTTACCTCGTGATTTATAGATTACGAACTTGACCTCGTGTTTTGTATATTAGTACAGTTTATTGTGTCATGACCAGCTCCCTTTTCGCAGGCATATCGGGATCTCACGGCGCCAATTCTGTAAATTTTCTTCCGCAGCGCATCCCGTCGAAATGCCCAGCTACGGTAGCTACTGCTGCGTAGCGTGGTGCGGTGACAACGGAAGAACGAGCAAGTAACCGGGAACAAAGTTTTTCCGGGTTCCGCGGGACAGCAAGTAGCCATGGTTTCCATCTGTCTTTGTTTTAAAAACTTACTGGATGACTGTTCAGCTGTCAAAGCGAAAAAACAGAAAGTTTGTTTTTCAAAACTGGTTTCAAAGCTGTAGTAAGGGAAAAACTTGGGCGAGTTCTTTTGCATAGTGATGATTAAAAACAGTGCAGGCGAGACGAAGGACCAGAGCTCTGGAGTACTCCCAGAACCTTTGCTCAAACTACACTAAGGTGGTTAAGTAATACAGTCACTTACCAGCCGTAGAATTGTTATGTATTTCATTTTTCTTAAAACTGTCCTTCGTAATCTCACACATAGCCTGGACTTATGAGAAACTAATGTATAGGACACTACTGTGTGTTTTCCTTCACATCAGCACAGACGTAACACTTCACTGAATATATCAAGAACAAAAATAGTTGTCATTGAAAATTTCTGTTCTTTTTGTGACATCCTGTAACTTTGACGGAACAAATAAAATTATATATCTGTGATGAAGGAACAGAGGCATTCCTGTTAAACAGCGATGACCTATGTATCAACCGCCTCTGGCACTTTAATATCCAAGTCATCTTCAGGCATTTGTATACCTGTACTACAGGTCACGGGTCTAAAGCGTGGGTCGAGTACGCCAAGAGACATGACCTCATGGACAAACCGGCGGCGCGCCTATATGCGAGCGACTACGTGTGCAGCGACCACTTCACTGTACACGACTTCATGAACCCTGGACGAACGAGGCTCACAAAAACAGCAGTGTCCAGTGTTCGTCCACTAGAACACTGGCAGTCTGTGATATGTCGTGGTAATGCTTTATTCACATCCCGATGTATGCAAAATATACAAGTAGAAAAACTTGATTTAATTGTAGCTCTACTTTTACTGCTTCGTAAGCTTTGACATTACTTTTATTTCTATCTAGAATCAGTGGTATGGTCACGTTTAGGCGATGCTGTCATGTTTGCGCATCTGCATCACAATAGCGTATGTTCACTTAGTCTCAGTATCATTGGTTTGGAGCTTCATTAGCTCCGAACCTTCCCATAATCTAGAAATGTTTTGCTTCAATGTCCAAAACGTGTTGACTGCTGTGTTACACCCCCAACCCTGTTGCTGTCGTGTCCAACATTTTGTTAATTGCAGGTGACTTCATCTTGTTTCTAATAGCCAAATTTTTGCAGACCTCGTGGAGGCCAGCACCTCGCACAGCGCGCCTTCGGACAGCCAGCCGGTCACCCTGTCCAGGGCAGCTCATGGTGAGGAAACAACTCTGAAGCAACAACTTGTTTCTGATAACAAACTTCATGCAGATCTCGCGGAGGCCAGCACCTGGCACGGCACGCCTTCGTACAGCCAGCTGGTCACCCTGTCCAGGGCAGCTCCTGGTGTGGAAGCGACTCTGTTTGAAGCAACAACTTGTTTCTGATAACCAGATTCTTGCAGATTTCGTGGAGGCCAGCAGGTCGTACGGCACACCTTCGGACCCTGTCCAGGGCACCTCACGGTGAGGAAGCGAATCTATTTGAAGCAACAAATTGTTTCTGATAACCAACTTCTTGCAGATCTCGCGGAGGCCAGCACCTCGCACGGCACGCCTTCGGACAGTCAGCCGGTCACCCTGTCCAGGGCAGCTCACGGTGAGGAAGCGACTCTGTTTGAAGCAAAAACTTGTTTCTTATAACCAGATTCTTGCAGATCTCGTGGAGGCCAGCAGGTCGTACGGCACACCTTCGGACCCTGTCCAGGGCACCTCACGGTGAGGAAGCGAATCTATTTGAAGCAACAACTTGTTTCTGATAACCAACTTCTTGCAGATCTCGCGGAGGCCAGCACCTCGCACGGCACGCCTTCGGACAGTCAGCCGGTCACCCTGTCCAGGGCAGCTCACGGTGAGGAAGCGACTCTGTTTGAAGCAACAACTTGTTTCTGATAACCAGATTCTTGCAGATCTCGTGGAGGCCAGCAGGTCGTACGGCACACCTTCGGACCCTGTCCAGGGCACCTCACGGTGAGGAAGCGACTCTGTTTGAAGCAACAACTTGTTTCTGATAACCAGATTCTTGCAGATCTCGTGGAGGCCAGCAGGTCGTACGGCACACCTTCGGACCCTGTCCAGGGCACCTCACGGTGAGGAAGCGAATCTATTTGAAGCAACAAATTGTTTCTGATAACCAACTTCTTGCAGATCTCGCGGAGGCCAGCACCTCGCACGGCACGCCTTCGGACAGTCAGCCGGTCACCCTGTCCAGGGCAGCTCACGGTGAGGAAGCGACTCTGTTTGAAGCAAAAACTTGTTTCTTATAACCAGATTCTTGCAGATCTCGTGGAGGCCAGCAGGTCGTACGGCACACCTTCGGACCCTGTCCAGGGCACCTCACGGTGAGGAAGCGAATCTATTTGAAGCAACAACTTGTTTCTGATAACCAACTTCTTGCAGATCTCGCGGAGGCCAGCACCTCGCACGGCACGCCTTCGGACAGTCAGCCGGTCACCCTGTCCAGGGCAGCTCACGGTGAGGAAGCGACTCTGTTTGAAGCAACAACTTGTTTCTGATAACCAGATTCTTGCAGATCTCGTGGAGGCCAGCAGGTCGTACGGCACACCTTCGGACCCTGTCCAGGGCAGCTCACGGTGAGGAAGCGACTCTGTTTGAAGCAACAACTTGTTTCTGATAACCAGATTCTTGCAGATCTCGTGGAGGCCAGCAGGTCGTACGGCACACCTTCGGACCCTGTCCAGGGCACCTCACGGTGAGGAAGCGAATCTATTTGAAGCAACAAATTCTTTCTGATAACCAACTTCTTGCAGATCTCGCGGAGGCCAGCACCTCGCACGGCACGCCTTCGGACAGTCAGCCGGTCACCCTGTCCAGGGCAGCTCACGGTGAGGAAGCGACTCTGTTTGAAGCAACAACTTGTTTCTGATAACCAGATTCTTGCAGATCTCGTGGAGGCCAGCAGGTCGTACGGCACACCTTCGGACCCTGTCCAGGGCACCTCACGGTGAGGAAGCGAATCTATTTGAAGCAACAACTTGCTTCTGATAAGCAACTTCTTGCAGATCTCGCGGAGGCCAGCACCTCGCACGGCACGCCTTCGGACAGTCAGCCAGTCACCCTGTCCAGGGCAGCTCACGGTGAGGAAGCGACTCTGTTTGAAGCGAAAACTTGTTTCTTATAACCAGATTCTTGCAGATCTCGTGGAGGCCAGCAGGTCGTACGGCACACCTTCGGACCCTGTCCAGGGCACCTCACGGTGAGGAAGCGAATCTATTTGAAGCAACAAATTGTTTCTGATAACCAACTTCTTGCAGATCTCGCGGAGGCCAGCACCTCGCACGGCACGCCTTCGGACAGTCAGCCGGTCACCCTGTCCAGGGCAGCTCACGGTGAGGAAGCGACTCTGTTTGAAGCAAAAACTTGTTTCTTATAACCAGATTCTTGCAGATCTCGTGGAGGCCAGCAGGTCATACGGCACACCTTCGGACCCTGTCCAGGGCACCTCACGGTGAGGAAGCGAAGCTATTTGAAGCAACAACTTGTTTCTGATAACCAACTTCTTGCAGATCTCGCGGAGGCCAGCACCTCGCACGGCACGCCTTCGGACAGTCAGCCGGTCACCCTGTCCAGGGCAGCTCACGGTGAGGAAGCGACTCTGTTTGAAGCAACAACTTGTTTCTGATAACCAGATTCTTGCAGATCTCGTGGAGGCCAGCAGGTCGTACGGCACACCTTCGGACCCTGTCCAGGGCACCTCACGGTGAGGAAGCGAATCTATTTGAAGCAACAACTTGTTTCTGATAACCAACTTCTTGCAGATCTCGCGGAGGCCAGCACCTCGCACGGCACGCCTTCGGACAGTCAGCCGGTCACCCTGTCCAGGGCAGCTCACGGTGAGGAAGCGACTCTGTTTGAAGCAAAAGCTTGTTTCTTATAACCAACTTCTTGCAGATCTCGTGCAGGCCAGTGCCTCGTACGGCGCACCTTCAGACCTTAGCCCAGTGACACCATTCTCCTCTGCCAGCTCTGAATCAGGCGAGGCCTGTAAGTGTCTAATTTTCTTTGCTTATATGGATTCCTCTACGCTTTTCATCAGGAAGATTCTTCTGTGCAAATAGAAAGTTGGTGTTGCTTCTGGATATCTTTAGTTAACAGGCATTAATGAAGTAAAAGTTTAAGACTAAAAAAATATAAGGTGGTGTTGATATTTCACAGTATATAAATATAATGCAGAGTTGAGTGTACAAGCTCGACTCTATGGCCACATATATTGTTTGTCAGCTGGCAAATATTCTGTTTCTTGGTTCTAGCTATTTCACGCGCTTCCACGCCCAGTTTCCTCAAGTCAGCAGTGAGGCCTAAGGACGTCGTGAAGCGTCTTCAAGCCAAGGTCTCGCGCTACAGGAAGGCCGCCACAAGACTGCCAAAGCAAGAGCAGAAGGTGCCTCAGATAGCTACGGAAGCCCTCGCCATGATTCGCCCTCATGTCACTGAGGAGGTATTCCAGTTGGTGTCAAGTCATGTGAAACTGAGGTCCAAGGGCAGGGGAAAAAGATTACCGCTGTGGCTAAAAAAGTTTGCCTTGCACTTAAGTTTTTGTGGGCCGCAAGCGTACCGATTTTTGTCCGCACATTTCACTCTCCCTTCTCGGCGCTCCCTGAGAAGGTGGCTGTGTAATATCAAAATGACACCCGGAATTATTCCAGGAATTATTTCGTCTATCTCGACCAAGACGCAGTCGTGGAATGAACGGGACCGAGTCTGTACCCTCGTCTTTTACAAGATGCTCCTAAAAAAGTGCTTGGCCTATGATGTAACTCAGGATGTCGTTCAAGGATTTACGGACGATGGCCTCGAACGCACTTCCACAATCGCAGACCGAGCCTTGGTTGTCCTACTCTCTGGTATTTCTAAGAGGTGGGTTCAGCCTGTCGCCTACACTATTGGGCATACATCGACGCCATCAACCGTACTTGGTAACTTGCGGACATCCCTGATCGAACAGCTAAAGGACATCAGAATTACCGTAAAGGCTGTCACATGCGATCAAGGGGCCTCCAACGTCAGTTTGGCAAATCAGTTAGGTGTGTCGGTCAGTCAGCCATATTTTACTGTAAAAAATGAGCGTGTCTACTTCATTTTCGACGTTCCAGACCTGATAAAAACAACTCGCAACAATGTGCAAGCGCACAGGCTTCACATCGAAAATGAAGTTGTGGATTAGTCGTACATAGTACAGTTATACCATTCAACACATGAGATGCGGCTGCGATTGGCACCAAAGCTGACTGACCGGCACATTTACCAAAACCCTTTAAATAACATGAAAGTCAAACGGGTTACACAGGTTCTGAGCGCCTCGGTATGCGTCGCACTGTTGTCTCTTGTGTACGCAAAATAACTTCCAGAGGCAGCCGTGTCTACGGCATACTTTTTCGATCAGATGGACTAAGTTTTTGACTGTTTAGACAGTTCGAGGTGAAAAAAAAAAAAGCAAAAGTTGCGACATGAAATTCGGAAGGGAAATTCGGAGTTAGTTGAGTTCCTTTAGAAGCAGCTTTCTTAGATTGCAGCGTGGAGGTTTGAGGGGAGACGCCAGCCACAAACCATCATAGGCTGGCAAGTCACTATTAAAGCCATTCTGCTGCTCTGGGACGATGTTTCTCATAACTGTGACTTCCAGTTTCTGCTGACCCGGCGCCTTCAGCAAGATCAGCTTAAAAACATGTTTGGGCGTATTAGGCAGAAGCAAGGCTGCAATACAAATCTCAATGTGTCTCAGTTCACTTCTAGGCTGAAGCACATTGGTATTGAGAAGCTTTTCAAGCTTTCAGAAAAAGGTAATGTCGAAGACGACGGGTCTGGGCTCCTTGAGGAGTTGTCGCCATTTTCGCTTCAAAGTGAATCGCTTGCAGACATTGTAGATTGTGTACCGCCTAATAACTTTCCTCCGCTAGACAACATTGCGGAACTGCCAGCACATGGTGACTCGCACATCATTGGTGGATCTGCAACATACTATGTCGCGGGATTTTTGATAAAACGTTTTGCTGAGAAGACTGCGCCAGGTTGTTCATGTTCAGAATCGCTGAAGAATGAGCATGACACCCTGTACGGTCCTCATCAGTATTTTACCATGCTTAAAGCGTACCACATCCCGGGCAAGCTTTTTGAAAACCTGACCGTGCCATCGGAAGCTGCCTTCAGATACATCCAGCAGCTTGAGTTGCACTTCCTTTCTGTCATTGAAAGAGTGGCGCATCTTTGTAATGTCTGTGGTGTTTTGTATGCCAAACTCGTGGACGTTAGCAGTTTTATGTTTTGCACTAAGGAGTGCCATACAAAGTTTTTAAATATGTTTTGCAGAGTACTTTTCGGCTGGCATATACGCTTTATTAACCGGAATTCAGACAGAGTTAGGCTCCAAACTTGCGTCTCTGGGGCACAACTGGTGAAGTTTAAAGGGTGGCATAAATTTAAACATGCGTTTAGCATTATTTTTGCATTTTATTACATATGAGTTACAGGTTACATTTTTTACATATGAGTCATTGGGCCTTTCCTGGTCCTGTTCACGATTGCTGCTTTAGTTTGATG